CAGCATGGACAACGAGAAGGAAACCCTGTGAATGGGTAACAAGGTTTCTTTTTGTGATGGAAACGTTACAGATTAGACAGTGGTGATAGCTGTACAACTGTGAATAGATTAAAACCATTGAATTATACACTTTAAATGGGTGAGTCCTATGGTATGTGAACTGTATCTTGATAAAGCTATTAAAATATATTGTGCATTATCTTTAAATAATTATAGCTTTCAACCATCAAATGACATGTCTTATCAAGATGAAGTATGGATATGTTGTCACCCCAACAGCTACATTCCATGTAGTTCACAAAGTCCTCTCACAGCCCCCAGTCCCCATGACCAAGAGTATTCCCCAGCGCATTTCTGCCAGAGCTCCCAGAGAGGATGCTTTCTCTTCCTAGGATCACAGGTGGAGCTGGGTTCAGCTGGGGCTGCTCCTGTGACAGAGAATAGAATGGGCCAACACTCTAAGAAAAGCACAATGAGGGAATGGGGCAGTGGGATAAAGATGGAGGGGAAAGAGGAAGGTGAGAAAGGAGGAGACACAGGAAGAGCACAGTAATTATTGTTGGAGCATCTGTGTCCAGCCATGCTGGCTAGTTTCAAGTGGGTTTCTGTAATTTGCTTTTAGGAGAGTCTTAATATGTTACTTTAGTACAAACTCTTTCCCTACTTAACTGATAAACTTTCCAAGGATATATACACAAGTAAAACTAAATCCTGGGCCACAAAAAGAAATATGAAACATTGGAAAGAGCACACAGCTCAGTGGTTAAATGAAGTCAGATAGACTTCTATTCAAACATGAGTCCTAGGCTTACCTAAGTGACCTTGAGTACACACAATTTAACTTCCCCAAATCTTAGTTGCCACTTCTGTAAAATGGGAGCCCTAGGTTTGGTTTTCTTACAGACAGGCCACTGTCCACATTAAATGAAATAACCCATGGCAGGGTTTTAATACAGTACCTGGCATGTGAAAACACAACAGTATGACCCACCATTATTAGTAGTAAACTCATGATTTATCACATATATATTTAGAGCATAGAAAAGTATTGTTTTAAAGCAAAGATAGACTAAGACTATCTTTGCTTTGAATAAAATGCATATGACTAGTAGGTAAGAGCCAGAGAAAACTGTACCATGCATCACACACACACAAAAAAAATACTTCTTATTCATTTGGAGAGCATTATTTTTAAGATGTTAGAAATTAAACCTAGTAATGGTAAAGACAACAGCCAGAACCAAAAATGCTAATTCATAAAAATCAATTCTGGTTCTTAGCTAACCTTGTCCAGTACATACTTTAAAGTTATTTCTTCTTAGCCTTCAGTCTGCAATCACTTTTGGAAACCACTCCCCACTTGCAAATAGACAGCTTTAGACAACTATTTAGATTGCTAAGCTTTCTGTTCTTCTACAACACTGCACATTATTGCATCCACATGAGAGAATTCCCTCCATTCATCTACTACCCATAGATATTACTAACTTAGCTCAGACACAAGTCTTCTCCAAAAGTGACCCTGTGATCACTCAGTTCTGAGTTCATTCGTTCATTCAACAAAGACTTAGTGAGAACCTACTATATGCAAGGTACTGTACTAGGTACCAGAGATGCAGAGGACAAAACAGATACCTCTTCTCTGTGTTCTCATCAGGACCTGTTGCCTCATCAGAACACTGACCACACTGATTTCAGATTTCCTAATTACTTCTCGGCAACCCCATCAGAGACTCTAAGCAACCTAAGGTCAGGCACCATAGCAAATCTGATTTGCACTATATCACATTATTTTGAATAAGTCATGGAAAAAAATTGAAACAGAATGAGGTGTCAGCACAATATAGCCACAGCATAGCTATTTGTATGGTCAGAGACTCATGCAGAGCAAACTCTGAAGTGTGTAGAGACACAGCCTTTACAGGTCACTGAGTCTCCCATCAGTGCTGAATAGCCTGCCCCCGAGATCTCGGCTACATCTAGAGCTTGATCCAAAGTACATGATACAGATATAAAATTATATGATACAGATGTAAAATATGATTTTTATAAATATTTGTAATAGATTGTCTTTTCATTGAAAATATGCCTATATAAGGTAAGGAAGAATAAAACTGCACATAGATTAGCTAAAATGGAATTTCATAGATGAAATGCACCAATTCCAGAAAAAACACAAACTACAACTCATCCAATATGAATTTAAATAGACTGTTAAGAAAACTGGCTTTGCAGGGCCGGGCACGGTGGCTCAAGCCTGTAATCCCAGCACTTTGGGAGGCCAAGGCGGGTGGATCACAAGGTCGAGAGATCGAGACCATCCTGGTCAACATGGTGAAACCCCGTCTCTACTAAAGATACAAAAAATTAGCTGGGCATGGTGGCACGTGCCTGTAATCCCAGCTACTCAGGAGGCTGAGGTAGGAGAATTGCTTGAACCCAGGAGGCGGAGGTTGCGGTGAGCCGAGATCGTGCCATTGCACTCCAGCCTGGGTAACAAGAAAACTCCGTCTCAAAAAAAAAAAAAAAAAAAAAACTGGCTTTGTGATTTAAAATCTCATAAACATCTCTAGGCCAGTGAGGTGCAGTGGCTCACACCTGTAATTCCAGCACTTTGGGAGGCCTAGGCAGGTGGATCACCTGAGGTCAGGAGTTCAAGACCACTCTGGCAAACATAGTGAAACCCATCTCTACTCAAAATACAAAATATTAGCTGGGCCTAGTGGTGGGTACCTGTAATCCCAGCTACTCAGGAGGCTGAGGCAGGAGAATCCTTGAACCCAGGAGGCAGAGGCTACAATGAGCCAATTTCATGCCATTGCACTCCAGCCTGGGCAACAAGAGCAAAACTCCATCTCAAAAAGCAAAAAACAAAAACAAACAAACAAAAAAAACAAAAACAAAAACAAAAAAACTCAGCCTAGATGGTTTTACTGAAGAATTCTATCAAATTTTTTAAAAAGAATTGACACTGGCTTTATACAATCCCTCCCAGAAAACAGAAGAGGAACAAATACCTCTCAATTCAATAAAGGGAGTGGTCTAGACGCAAGACTAAAGAGACATTAGAACTAAATGCAACCTGTAATTCCCAACTAGATCATGTTGTTAAACAGAATTTGATAAGATAACCAGTAAAACTTGAATGAAGTTGAAGATGTGATAATAGAAATGTATTAATTTTCTAATTTTGATGGTCATTTTGATATTACACAGAAGAATGTCCTTTTCTTAGGAAATGCCACTAAAATATTTGGAAGTAATGGGTCATCAAGTCAGCAACTTATTATCAAATGGTTCAGGGAAAAGCAAAGGTTATCTGAATTGTACTGGTAACCTTCCTGTAAATTTAATCTTGTTTTAAAACAAAGAAAAAATATTTCTTAAAAATATAGGAGGCTATCTTTATGATCTCAGGATACAGAAGAATTTCCTAAACTAGTTATAAAAACATTGCAAATAGGAATGTTATAAATTCAGTCACGTGAAGATTAAGAAATTTATAAATGGAACATTATTCAGCTTTTCAAAAGAAAAGAAATTCTGGCTTTTATGAGTCATATAACATATGTGACAACACAGATGAACCCTGAAAACACGCTCACTCAGATATGTCACTCACAAAATGACAAATACTGTAAGTTTCCACTTATATGAAGTATCTAGAATAGTCAAAATCATAGAAACAAAAGGCCAGCGGCTGGGCCTGGAGGAAATAGAGAGTTGATTAATTTACAGTTTCAGTTCTGTAAAACAAAAAACTGGAGATCTAGTACTCAGTGTTGTGAATACACTCGTCACTACTGAACTACCCACTTAAAGATGGTTAAGATGGCAAGTTTCATTATTACCACATACATTTGTGGATAACGCTTGAAGAAAGGAAATGGTTAGCACAATATTGCAGAAGTCTTTCCTCTCTGGGATGTGATCTGAAAAGGGCACACAAGGAACTTAAAAAATGTTTTCTTTAAGTTCAA